GGCAGTGGTGGTGCACACCTTTATTCCCAGCACTTGGGAGGCAGAGGCAAGTGGATCTCAGTGAATTTTAGGCCAGCCTGGTCTACTAAGTGAGTTCCAGGACAGTCAGGACTGTTACACAGAGAAACCATGTCTTGAAAACCCTAAATAAATGCATAAATAAATTGCCAGGTGTATCAGCACACAGCTTTAATCCCATTACTCCGGAGAGAGTTGGGATCAAAGGTGTTTGTTTGCCACCTACATTTATTTTGTTTTTTATTTTTAATAATGAGAGGCCGGGCATTGGAGGCGCACGCCTTTAATCCCAGCACTCGGGAGGCAGAGGCAGGAGGATCTCTGTGAGTTCGAGACCAGCCTGGTCTATAAGAGCTAGTTCCAGGACAGCCTCCAAAGCCACAGAGAAATCCTGTCTCGAAAAACCAGAAAAAAAAAAAAATAATGAGAGATGAGGGTTTGTTTTTGTTTTTGTTTTGTTTTGTATTCTCCCATCACAGAAGTTAAGAGTGTAATAAAACATGCAAGCATGCTTAGGGCACAGACAAAGTGAAGGAATGGATGAGTTCGTTTCTCCTCCCTGCTTGTGACTTGTGAGGCTGAGCTCCGTGATGTTGTAGCAAGTTGGACTATTCCCAGGCCAAAGAAACTGTGTCATAGGGTATGATAGTGAGACAGGATGAAGAATGAGAAAAGCCTGGGACATGCTTTTACAGATGTCCCAAGGTCCAAGGGCAGGCAGGAGTCAGCCCAGTGAAGATCTGGGGAAACAGCATTCCAGACAGAGGGAGGAGCAATGGCTGTGTTTGGCAGACAGAGAGGAAGCCAGAAGTTCTGAAGCCTATGGAAGGGGGAGACAAGAGATAAATTCTCTGTTTCTGCAGCCATGACTCAACACAGTCAGATTTGTAATTTAGACTTTGGTTGCAACATGGAAAATAGATTTTAAGTAGAAGCTGAGTAGGGAAGATGTGAAAGAAACATCTAGAAGGGATAGGTTGGGGCTCCAATCAGATGAAATCAAACAGGTGGAGGGAGGGAATCAAGAGATCTAAAGATACTCATTTTATTTTTAAAGACAGGGTCTCACTCTGTAGTCCTGGCTAGCCTGAAGTTCACTGAGTACTCTAGGTTGACCTTGTACTCATTGGCAGTTTTCCTGTCTCAACCTCCCAAGTTCTAGGGTCACTGGCAAGTATCATGACCCCTCCAGGAGAGATATTCAGAGGTAAAAGATCTGGGTTTGGTTGTGGGATCTGAAGTTCTAGCATCTGGAAGTTTGGGGTTTTCTGCCTATAGTGCTTCCAGCCTAAGAGGCCTACTACATGGCAGAAACTAGGTAATCACACTTCATGTTACTAAGTGAGCATTGTAAGTCTGTCCTGTCATTTTCCATGACCTTGGTTCTCAGAAGCCTGCCCTAGAAAAGCTGTTTTTGAGTTTTAGTGCCACTCTGTGGCCATAAGAGGTACTATGTGTGGGTGATGAGTGTTCTTCAAAAGGCTTCTCACTTTAGGACTCTCTCCTAATGTTTGTGGGGTGCGCACTCGCGCACACACACACACACACACACACACAGAGAGAGAGAGAGAGAGAGAGAGAGAGAGAGAGAGAGAGACAGAGACAGAGACAGAGACAGAGACACACGGGTGGGGTGGGGTCAGGAAAAGTGATCCCAAACATTATCTGATAGTTCAAATCACCATTGTTAGGAAGGAACAAAAGAGTATATATACATCTCTGAACTTGGGGCACTGCCAGGGCCTGGGGGACTATGCTTTCTTCTCAGATACAGGCATTGGTACACATGTTGGTAGCTTATTGGCAACGCATGCTGGGCATCAGCTTCACCCTAGATTTACTGAGTTAGTCTCCAAATCAGTTGCTAGGAATGGACTTCCTTTGGCAGCCTGTCCTAGAGCAGGCAAACATCACTGTGGAGAAAGAGCTGCCCCACTGCTGATGACGTGTGCTTTGTGCTGATCATCAGAAGAGAATGCATTTCCCTGGACTTGAGAGTCTGCCTTCTTCCGAGAACAGCCAGCTCTATCAAGACCAATGGATAGAGCCTACCTGGGTCAAGGATCAAGACCCTCCTAGGTTGCCTTCATGCTTTGGTCAGCTTGTCCACAGTAGGGGCTGCTGTAACTCCTCCACATCCTCCAGGCTCAATGGGCCACCCACGTGGTGGGACAGAGTGGGCAATTCAAGAGTGAGTGCCAATGTGAGGTCAGACATGAGCTTCTAGCTCATCATGGAACTGCCTGCAAACTGACATGTGATCTGTGCCAAGTGTGTGTGCCAGGCCACCATCTTAACTTTTCAATTCATTTTATAGTTATACTAAACACTTTGATTCCAAAGCAAATGTCTACAACACAGAGTCACCTAGAGATCTCTGTGTTCCATTTTTTATTACACATAAACCATTTTATTAGTTTTTGGTTTACTCCTCCATCAAAAACAAACTGTCCTAAAGCTTGAAATATAGCATAGGATGGCCTTGAACCAATCTTGACTGCAGTGCTGGTTTACCCCCACACCAGGTGTTTTTCTTTTCTAGGCAGTGTCTAAGTAACCCAGGTTGTTCTTGAATTTGAGATTCTTCTGCCTCACCTTCCTCTAATGCCTGTATTTTGAAGCTTGTCACACCCCCATTATTCTTTACTCACTATTTAGTAGAAAATAAAAGTTTGTCTTTTTTTTTGTCCTTTTGAGAAAGGGTTCTACAATATGGCCGTTGGCTTGCCTGGAACTCATTGTATAGACCAGCCTGGCCTCCAACTCAGAAATATCTGCATCTGCCTTCTGAGTGCTGGGATTAAAAGCATGGGTTACTCGTTGTTTCTTCTAAAACCAAATAATTTATCAGTAAAGATTAAATCATATGTCAGTCAGCAGTGGTGCTGAATGCCTTTAACCCCAGCACTCAGGAGGCAGAGGCAGGGGGATCTCTGCAAGTTCAAGGCCA